CTAGTGTGGTCCAGGAGCGTCAACCTGGCAGACACTCGGAGCGCTGAGCGGATTCGTCTGCTCGACGCCCTTCTCTCCCAGGTTGGCCTTTTTTGGCGTGCAGTCGAGAAACTCTTGCCCAGCAGTCTCCACTGCCAGGGAGCAGACGGAGGCAATCAAACATGTTTCTGTCCCCGACGACCAGCTGCTGCCTCCACCCAGTCGTCGGCACAGATGCCTCCCGCTGCTCGCCGCCGAGGACGCCCCCCCGCGGCTTCCCTGCCTCCCGCCCCGCCCCAGCAGCAGCCTTCATCCGGGCCACGGCGTGGAGGAGGCCGCCGGCAGGCGTCACAGCCCCCTCAGGCCGCACACCCCGCTAAACGCCAGGTAAGCGATGATCCTGATACGGGCTGCTCAGTGATGGAGTTGAGTTTTTCCCCAGGAGGCGGGAGCAGGCCCCCTCCTGCCCCCGGTGGGAGGGCCGGGGGGAAAATCTTTCGTTTTCAGTTCCCGCTGCTCGCCCACGGTGGGCAGCGCCCTGAGTTGGTTAAGAAAGACTTGACATCATCACTGAGCCCACAGACTGGAATGAGTGCGCTCGACGTTCCAGTGCGTCAGCCCACACATTCCTCTCTGTCTCTGAGGGTGCGGAAGGGTGCGAGTGTCGTCCCCGGCCTACGCCAATCCCTTCCCCCTCTGTCGCCAGACCCCCGGCGGAACGGACCCCCGTGGAACGCTCCGCTTTCCCTGGTCCCTTCCGTCGGGGAGCGGGCTTCGACGCATCCGAGCGGGGTCATCCCTGCACGCGTGCCAGTCGACCCGCCACGCTGCCCCTCCGGGGGACGTCTGTGGTTCACATGACCCCGTTGGCTCACTTCCTGGAAGCCTGGCTAGTGCTTCCCGGGATATCCCGCTGGGTCATCAGAACGATCAGATTCGGCTACGCGATTCAGTTCGCACGGTCTCCTCCCCGCTTTCAGGGGAGTTCGCTCCACGATAGTTGGTGGCAATGCCCCACTCCTGAGAGCGGAGATTGCGACCCTGCTGGCGAAGGGTGCAATCGAGACGGTCCCTCCAGCCGAGGTGGAGTCCGGGTTTTACAGCCCCTACTTCATTGTCCCCAAGAAGACCGGTGGGTTACGACCGATCCTGGACCTGCGCATTTTGAACCGTTCTCTCCATCGACTACCGTTCAAGATGCTCACGGCCAAACGCATTTCGAATGTGTTCGGTATCAGGATTGGTTTGCAGCGATCGACCTGAAGGACGCGTACTTCCATGTGTCCATCTTACCTCGACACAGACCGTTTCTTCGGTTTGCCTTCGAGGGCCAGGCATACCAGTACGCCGTTCTCCCATTCGGGTTAGCTCTGTCCCCTCGCGTCTTCACGAAGATCGTCGAGGCAGCCCTTGTTCCCCTTCGCGAACACGGGGTTCGCATCCTGAATTATCTCGACGACTGGCTGATACTAGCACACTCTCGAGCTCAGCTTGCGAACACAGAGACTTGGTGCTCCGGCACCTAGCCGGTTTGGGCCTTCGGGTCAACCGGGAAAAGAGCAAACTTTGCCCCGTGCAGAGGATCTCTTTTCTCGGCATGGAGATAGACTCGGTCGCCATGTCCGCGCAGCTCACGAACGAGCGCGCACACTCACTGCTGGCTTGCCTTCGTCAGTTCGAGGGCAAGAGTGCGGTTCCACTGAAACTTTTTCAGAGGCTCCTGGGGCATATGGCATCCGCGGCCGCGGCAACGCCGCTCGGTTTGCTTCATATGAGACCGCTTCAGCTGTGGCTTCGCGATCGAGTCCTGAGGTGGGCATGGCATCGCGGCTCGCTCCGAGTCCCAGTGACTCCGGCATGCCGGCGAACCTTCTTCCCGTGGTCGAACCTCAGCTTTCTACGGACAGGTGTCCCTATTCAGCGAGTTTCCAGACATCTCGTCGTCTCCACGGATGCATCTACCACGGGTTGGGGTGCCATGTGCAATGGGCATGCAGCCGCCGGTTCCTGGACAGGAGCCCAGCGCCTCATGCACATCAATTGCCTCGAGCTGTTGGCAGTACGGCTCGCCCTGCACCGCTTCCGAGCGTTGCTCAAGGGCCAGCATGTGCTTGTCCGCTCAGACAACACTACGGCAGTAGCGTACATCAACCACCAGGGGGGTCTACGCTCACGCCAGTTGTCGCAGCTCGCCCGCCACCTCTTGATATGGAGTCAGAAGCACCTGAGGTCCCTTCGTGCAGTTTACATTCCTGGAGACCGGAACTGGGCAGCCGACGAGCTGTCCCGGGTCCGTCCCCTCTCCGGCGAATGGCGACTCCATCCTCAGTCGGTCCAGCTGATTTGGGACGAGTTCGGGGAGGCACAGATAGACCTGTTCGCCTCTCGGGACTCGTCCCACTGCGCCCAGTTTTATTCTCTGACCCGCGGCACTCTCGGCTCGGATGCGCTGGCGCACAGCTGGCCACGGGGCCCACGCAAGTATGCGTTTCCCCCAGTGAGCCTCCTTGCACGGGTGTTGTGCAAGATCAAGGAGGACGAGGAGCAGGTCTTGCTGGTAGCCCCCTACTGGCCCACCAAGACGTGGTTCTCCGATCTCATGCTCCTCGCGACAGCACCTCCTTGGCCTATTCCTCTGAGACAAGACCTACTCTCTCAGAGACGGGGCACTCTGTGGCACCCTCGTCCCGATCTTTGGAGGCTGCACGTGTGGCTCCTGGACGGGACGAGGCAGGTTTGAGTTCGCTGCCACCTGCGGTGGCGGCAACCATCACTTCCGCAAGAGCGTCGTCCACGAGACACCTTTATGCGTTGAAGTGGAACCTCTTCGTCAATTGGTGCTCTTCTCGCGGAGAAGACCCCCGGAGATGTTCGATCAGTGTCGTGCTTTCCTTCCTGCAAGAAGGGTTGGAGCGCAGGCTGTCGCCCTCCACCCTTAAGGTTTACGTCGCGGCCATTGCCGCTTCTCATGAAGCAGTGGAAGGTAAGTCCTTAGGGAAGCACGACCTGGTCATCAGGTTCCTGAGGGGAGCGAGGAGGCTGCATCCGCCTCGTCCTCCCCTCGTACCCTCTTGGGACCTCTCGGTAGTTTTAAGTGCTCTGCAGAGGCATCCCTTTGAGCCTTTGCAATCGGTAGAGTTAAAGTTTCTGTCCATGAAGACAGCACTCCTGGTTGCATTGGCCTCCATCAAGAGGGTGGGGGACCTGCACGCATTCTCCGTTGACGAAGCGTGCCTGGAGTTCGGGCCGGCTTACTCTCACGTGATCCTGAGACCCCGGCCTGGATATGTGCCCAAGGTTCCCACCACTCCCTTCCGGGACCAGGTGGTGAACCTGCAAGCGCTGCCCCCGGAGGAGGCAGACCCAGCCTTGGCACTGCTCTGTCCGGTACGTGCTCTCCGCACCTATGTCGACAGAACGCAGTGTTTCAGGACCTCAGACCAGCTCTTTGTCTGTCATGGAGGGAGCCAGAAGGGAAGGGCTCTCTCAAAGCAACGGCTGTCCCACTGGATAGTGGATGCCATTGCTTTGTCTTACCAGCAGCAAGGCCTTCCGTGCCCCCTTGGTGTGACGGCCCATTCCACTCGGAGTGTAGCCTCCTCTTGGGCTTTAGCGCACGGCGCCTCGCTAACAGACATCTGCAGAGCTGCAGGCTGGGCGACACCCAACACCTTCGCCAGATTCTATAATCTGCGAATTGAGCCGGTATCCTCTCACGTACTCGTTTCGGCCAGTTCTGGATCCGCTCAGGTGTCTTCGCTTGCTCGCCACTCCACTCCCCGGACTGGATAAGTGCGATATTTCCTCAGTTCTTCCATTGAAGTCTTGAGTCCTCCAGCACCGACGATGCGGGCACCACTGCGTTGCTCTGGATGCTAGCTAGGTGCCTCCATGCGCACGGTTCCCCATGGTAACCGTCTCATGTGTATTATCCACTGTAAGCCTCTCTGAGCATGTGTCTTCCCTTGGCAAGCCATCTGCCACCCCTGGAGTTTAAATCAGTAGCCACCTGCGGTTGGTACTCCAGTGTTCCATATGCGTTCCTATGTGGCCATATGTGTATTCATAAGTCCTCCCTTCGGTAGGCAGCTGGTAGCATGTCCCCTTCGGGATATGTTTCCCAGTGTACCTTGGTAATCCTGTGTCAAAGTCGGATCCCCAAAAAAAAAAAAAAAAAAAAAGAGGTAAGGCTCGGGGTTTCAGTCTTTCGCAGGGCACTGGAAGACAGCTTGAAGATGGCGTGATGGCACAGACCCCCAATCTCCGTCACTTCTGACGTAACTCGAAGTGACTACGAAAGGGAACGTCTCGGTTACGTATGTAACCCTCGTTCCCTGAGTAGGGAACGGAGACGTTACGTCTCCCTGCCACTTCTGCTGTATCGCTGGGTAGACGCCGAGTTCAGTCTTGGCTCCTCAGCGAAGACATACTGCGGTTACGTTCACTTCCTCCTTTTATACTCACGGAGTAGGGCGGAGTACGCTATGCAAATTTCCGCAGCCCCAAGGCATTGCATGCCATTGGCTCGTTTTTAAATACTCGAAGAGGATTGGCTTTCTATGCGAAACCCCCAATCTCCGTCACTTCTGACGTAACGTCTCCGTTCCCTACTCAGGGAACGAGGGTTACATACGTAACCGAGACGATTTTGCATGATATGTCCCCTTTAATACATTAGTTCATCTATGAACACAAGTTTAGTCAGTTTGCCTTCAATTGGCTGTGGAGGTGAAAACAACACCTCCCATGATTCCACGCTCAGTCTCGGGCTCAGTCACGTCATCATCAAGCCATGCCTTTAGTACTGTTTTTGAATAGGCGACCTCTAGCAGCGAAACTTACATCTTTAAGTTGGTGCTATTATGCGCAGCGGACTGAACAACACTTGAATCTACTGTATGTGCGTCACATCAAGGCGGCTTTTTGCTGCTTGCAAATGGACACTTTTGAAGAGACGGTAGATTGCAAGCCATTCATATGCTGCTCTGATTGCACTCTCTCTGCACAATTACTCGGTACGCTCACTCTTGCTCATATCCAAGGTATTTTTTGTCATCCTCTTCATGAGTTTTATTAAAAGTAATATAGTGTTTGCTAATGAGCTTGCATGCGAGTTTGTGTACTTTAGTACCTATAGTTGTAATAACTGTTCCAGCGAAGAAGAAGGAGTTGCTGAGGTCCCATAAACTGCTCTGATTGGACGAGTTTCCTGAAGGGTTCACTCCTACTCGTAATGCTGACACCACTTGCTGTTATAAGACAAAAAAAGGTTTGTATAATTACACATATTTCAAAAATATTTATAATTGCATGCATGTTTCAAGTCAACACTGTTTCTGCCTCAGCGTATACGAATATTTAATCCATCAAATCAATGACAAAAATAATAACCCAAGCAGATTTCTTAAACACTCCTTCATCTGTAATTGTTTGGGCAAATATGTAGTCCCACCATAAAGTCACACCATTGGCTGAGCAGGAAGTTCATATGTTTAGCTGTAGTTTTTCAACACTAAACAAATAATTTGGGACAGTAAAATAGAAACAATATAATCCTATGTAGCTATTCACACCGAGGTGAATAGCTAAATCCAGGAGTCTTTTTTTCTATGGTGAATGAGTCTTATTTTTTCTTCATTCTGTGATAAAAAATGCTGCATCAAATAAGATGTAGTGCATGTCTGGAGCTGACACATATCCACACATTTGAAGCACAAGCCCAAAATTATTCTAAATAAAATGAATGCTTTGAACAACATGTATACCTATTACCCAATACAAGTTGATTACAAAATATATGCAAACGTTCTGAGGATATGGTCCCTTTTGTCATGTGAGACAATGCAATTTACCCCATCAATATTCTTTTGTCTCTATTCTGAACATATTCGCATACAGAGGCCAAAAGTGATGTTCGTAGTGTCACAGGCTTTTGCAGGAAGGCAGACGAAAATGATAAATATAATTCCAACACAAAGTTTAATGACCATAATACAAATACAAAGAAAATACACAGACAAGCAAGGCGACACACAATAAATATATCACAGATCGAACAACTTGTATAGCAAACACAAACAATGATAATTGATAGAACACAGCTGAAACCAAGAACACAAAAAGGGAGCAGGAAAACTGAACAAAGGGACACATGATGAGAATGAAAACAAACTAAAAGTCCATGATAATGAAACTAACAACATATGGTGACATTGAGGGGATATTTGCACAATATTTGGGGAGTACTCTTTTTGAAGCTAAAAAAAGCTAAATAAGCTCTTTTTTGAGCTTCATATGGTAGTAAAAATTATTAAAACAACAAATATAACCAAGAAATGTTATAATTTTGGGTCTGTACATTTGCTTCGGAACATTAAAATACGATTTTATACGATTATTTGTATTATTTTTCTTTATTCATGTTCAAAATAATTCTCATAATGTATTTTGTGAGGTCAGAGTATGTTGTACATGTGTGCTGATTAGAGATCTGGGATGAGCTTTATTTTGCTTAGAGGTATTTGTGCAATGTAACATGTTCACTGAGCCGAGATGTTCAACTGATGATGATACTTCAAATGTGTAATGCTGGCATGTCCTTTACAAGGAAAGGAATGTTTCATCTGATAAAAATGTACACAGAGAATAGTTTCTTAAAGGGTTAGTTCACCCAAAAATGAAAATTCTGTCAGTATTTACTAGGGTTGGGTATCGTTTGAATTTGAACGATTCTGATTCCGATTCCGATTCCTTGTTTCGATTCCGCTTCCTAACGATTCTCGATTCCGATTCTTTTAAGAGGCAGCTAACCTTGCTAACCAACGGCCTTTCTGAAGGAAATAATCCTTTCTGAAGGAAATACTCCTTCTGTAAAAATACTCCTTTTGTCACAAATTTTGCATTTTGCCGAGATTTCATTATTTTTAGAAAAGTGAAGCCACACTTTGGATCGCCGACGTAAGCTACTCATGTTCGACTCGCGCGGTTATGCCAAAACACTTCCGGTAGACGCTTCTTCGTTGGTGTTGTTCAGCGGTTTCTTCTTCCGCTCGGCGGACTGTGAATATCGAAACTAGGAATCGAAATTTTAACTTTTGAACGATTCCGGGAAAAACGAAAAGTTAGTCTCGGTTCCAATCGATACTCGATTCCCGATACCCAACCCTAGTATTTACTCACCCTCATGTTGCACCCCCACACACGACCAGCGTCGGCCAATAGTGAGCCTACGTGTAACGTAGCTTTACGCAATCACACTACGTTAACTGACTACAGGCCCATGGAGAAGGAAGTAAATAGTTGAAATAAAGTCGTTATTTTTGTTTGTTTTTACGCACAATGTATTCTCGTCGTTTGATAAAGTTAAAATTGAGCCCCTGTAGTCACTTGGACTATTTTAACGATGTCTTTAATGACTTTTCGAGGACAGCAAGAGTCACTCCCTCAAGAAGCCTATGGACTGTATGCAGGAGCGATCTTAATATCTTAAATATCTTAATTTGTGTTCCGAAGATGAACGAAGGTCTTACGGGGTTGGAACAACATGAGGATGAGTCAATACTGACAGAATTTTCATTTTTGGGTGAACTAACCCTTTAATATGGATAGTGGATTGTCCCGTGAGGTATACGTTCCACTTTTAAAGCTCAAGCAACATGTTTTTCTACCATACAAGGAAGTTGAAAGTCGCTTAATTGTGTATTAAAGCCAAGGGGCAACCTCCCCGTCTCTCTCTTGAAGCCAACACGGAAGTGAATTAAACTGCAATTCATCAAGTGACCGCATGAGGCTGGCTGCAAAAGCGAGTCAAATCTGTATCTCCACCAAGTTAAAATGTCTAACTTCACAGCAGAAAAAAATTTTTTACAACTCATCTGTTTAAATTATATTTAAGCCTTATAGTTTTGCATAATTAAGGGCGTGGCCACTTGAGTGACAGGTGGATTCTTGCAGCCGCTTTCACTGCTAGTCGTTTGTCTGCTGTCTGTTAGCGTCACCCTCAGCTGTGTTTGTGCTTTTCCCGGGATTATTTCATACAATTTAATACATGTATTATACCTTCGCCCGTGCACGCCGTTGGATTCCGTCTTGTTGAGTATGGAGAGAACGACCAGCGCTGTTTCCAGCTGTTTCCCTCGCATGCACTAATGGATGTCTGATGATATCAGTGCGTTCTCTCCTTCCATTCTATAGATGCACACCCTTGAATGAGCGCGGATTTCTAGTTCATTTACTTGAAGTTCTGAGGTAATATTTGGTTTGACCCATCTGAGAAACTGAGAGGCGGCCAAAATCAGATTGTAAAATGGACTGAATTAAAGCTCTTTACGAACTTGACGTGAGATGCCGACTGACATATGTGCTTGTGTTGAATCACTGTCACATCCACAAGCTTAGAGCAATATTGTAAGTAACTAATTCATTTTTAACTAGCAGAATAATAATGCATCACGATACACATAGTTGACTGCTTGAATGTTGTGAGTGTACACTGCTTGACTGCTTGAATCTGTGTTATGTACTTGTATACATGCTCTTAACAAATTGCCCCTTGTGAGATTAATAAAGTTGATAAAAAAGTAGAGTAAATAGTCTCACTTTTAGTTACGTCTTAAATATTGTAATATTTCGAAGGGCAAAAACATGAACTTTAACCATTGGCTTTACTTTTTCCATCAGCTGTCAATTCAGCGCGAGGGCAGTAGCATAGCATTAGCACCTCAGCTCCACCCGCGTCCCGCCTCTTTGTCCATTTTAATTTATCCGGTGGTGACGAGAGGTGACGCACTGCCAAGATGGCGACGGCCGGCCACGCCCACTTTAGGTTTCAAAAACGCTCTTCAGAAACCTATGGGTGACGTCACGGACACTACGTCCATATTTTTTACAGTCTATGATTAAAGCCCAACTACTGTACCACCTCAGAGAAAAATAAAGGCATGACAGGGTGAGAGGAAGGAGAAATAAAGACATGAGGGGGTGAGGGAGGAGAAACCCAAAAAAACCATTTACAACTGGCATAATGGGGTGAGAGAATAGAGAAATAGGGAACAGAGAAATCTTAAATGAACACCTTAGCCTTATTCTTATATGCCTGTTTCTCTCTGTCTGAAACATGATAAATAATAAATAGAAATCTCTTGGCAAAAGTAACTGGTGTAGCTTGTGTGATTCAACAATAATGGGGAAAGCATGATTTTTAAATCTACATACGTAATAGTAATTTTGTGTATCTCAAAACACATCAATGTTGAAATTCTGCATGCATATTTATGACCCTAAATGAGAAAAAGTCATATTTCAAGAAAAAAAAAAGTTAACTGATATTCCTGACAACTGATCCAAATTTCTAATCAGATTAACCCGCAACAGTACACAAGTGTTGAAATGCCTTTTTTTTTTTTTTTGCATTTAAATCTTTTAAAGCCATACAGAACTTTGTTTTTCCCCCTCCATGAAGAGAGTGCCATTCAGTATGTCATCTTGTTTTTCTAAATGTGAGGTAAGGTGGATTTTCCTTACTTCACCCCAGGCGGAAAGTCATGTTGACTGTGAAACATAGACTACATATGCATTTATGGAGAAACTACTACATTTTTGTATAAATCTATGTTAATTTTGACCATGAACAAAGCTCTATGACTTTAATTCTGCATATGCAGCACAGCAAAAATGTAGACTTGATGCAGAAATGGTCACTGCACTGCTGCATCTGCACCACTGATCCTGCAATGCATTACGTGTGACATGTTAACCTGTTAACATGGGCACTGAAAAAAATGCATACCACTTATATGCACAGCAAACTGATCATGTGTGAAACGGGCTCAAGCCATTAGGTGCTGGAGGGGCTGAAGCAGTGTGGAGGTTTTTGGCATGTGATGCATCTCCTGAGGGGCAAAGAGCCTCAGGCATGCTGCATACAGTAGCAATCAGCAGCATACTTAAGAAAGGACAGAAGCTTCAGAGAAGTGTATGCGTGTGTGTGACTAGCAGATCTGGGAGCTTTCCTAGACTCAACAGAGGGACTGAAGGCTTAAAGCCACACTCTTAAAATGGATGTGTTAAAAACAACACAACCTGTGTTATATCTTAACACACCTGTGTGTCTAGTTAAGGACAACACATTTTGTGTTGCTTTTAACTCAACCAGTGTGTTATTGTTCTTAACACGGAGTGTGATTTCACTAAGTTTGCACTTTGAATTAGATTAAAATGTAGCAACTGACAAAATATTGTGTGTAAATAA